GATCAAACATTTGCTCAAAAGTTTTGACCAGTTGGTCGTGTTGAAAATGAAACATATCATTCTTCACAACGTGCCATTTTAAGCCAAAAGATGAACAAGTCAATCCTGACCAGACCTTGGCTTTATAATGTATTAAGTCATTCATTCAACCTTTATTTATACAGGTTAATCCCACTGAGTCTCGGGGACTCATTTACAACAGAGAACTGATTTCTTAACAAAGAATGATGACAACAGTGAATAACAAAGACAACAATAAACAGTCATAATATAGGCATAGGCATTTTTACAAATCAACACAATCAAAACAAAGTAGCAACCAAAGGACAATCAAGAGGAATAGTAGCAAAAAACAGCTAGATTATAAGGGAAGAAAACTAAAAACAGGAACAGGAGCATTTGTTTTTGCCAGGAACTTAGATGTTTAAAGTCACTTAGAGAGGTCAAGGTCGAGAGCTTCAGGTCTTTTTGTAAGATATTCCAGGAAACAGGAGCGGCGTTGGAGAAGGCCCTTTTGCCAAGTTCAGTCCTCACTGAGGGAACACTGCAGGTAATAATGTCTTGAGAGTGCACGCTGTAGCTGCACTCACACAGTAACATGCAGGAGGAGATGTACGAAGGCAGCAGACTGAGAAGTGATTTAAAGATGAAAATGTACCAATGGGAGAATCTGTGTGAGGTTAATGATGTCCAGTTAACCAGTGAATACAGGGTGCAATGATGGGTACGGTAGTTACAGCCAGTTATGAATCTTAATGCACCGTGATAGACAGCATCCAACATCTGCAGGGTTCTTGTAGGAGCATTCATATAGATAATGCCACCGTAATCAATGGAGGGAAGAAATGTCACAGTTACAAGGCGTTTCCTAGCATTCAGAGTTAGACAGGATCTATTTCTGAAAAAGAAACCCAATTTAACTTTCAGTTTCCTTACAAGGTTTTCCACATGAAGCTTAAAGGAGAGATGCGAGTTGACCAAGATACCCAAATATTTATAGGATTGGACAAACTCAATAGGGACACCATTTGAAGATAAAAATCAGAGGAAGAACTGATGAGACTGACTTCATGCTTGGAATAAAAAGCATCTCTTTGGTTTTATCAACATTTAGGACAAGTTTGAGATGGAACAAATCTGACTGGATGATGTCAAAGGTGGACTGCAAAAGCTGGAGAGCCTTAGCAACAGTTTTAGCTCGACAGTAAACAACTGTGTCATCAGCATAGAAATGTAAGGATGCATCAGGGATGCTTTGACCTACGTTACCTATGTAGATTGTAAAGAGGGTGGGTCCTAAGACTGAGCTTTGTGGTAGACCATTACTGACTGTTAGATAAATGGAAGAAATACCATTAAAATAACCATAATAACCATAACAGGTCTCTCTTGAAAATGAGTTCTCGTGGCTCAATAAGACTACCTGTATAAATAAAGACTAAAAAAATAAAAAATAATAAAAATAAGAACCATTATGTTGAACACATTGCCTTCAATCTGAAAGATAATTAGAGAACCAACCAATGGTATGATCTGAGAAACCAATTTCTGAGAGCTTATTACACAAGATGTCATGATCCACAGTGTCAGTGATAAGATAAGATAAGATAAGATAAGATAAGATAAGATAAGATAAGATAAGATAAGTCAAGATAAGACAGTGAAAAAAGTTATTTTCTTTATAATTACCTAACTCCAGGGGGCACTAGAAATGTACAATATCCATTTCTCATAATTGTTAAGGGGATTTGTATCAAATGTAATACACTTGTTGTATGCAGTTTTGTATATACAGTATGCATCTTTTTTGTTTGCTCTGTTGCTGGACATTCTACCACATAGATATGTGTGACAAAATGTTGGCAGTAAACGTTAAAGGTAAAAAATACAAAAGAGTGAATGACCAGTGGTACTGCCAAAAATACAGTAGAAACTAGAAGTTTAGGACCAGAAGATAATGACTTTATTCCTCAAAGTGACAAGGCTGGATAAGATTAGGAATGAGATAATCAGAGGTACAGTACAGGTTAAACAACTGGGAGATAAAGTTAGAGAGTCCAGACTGAGATGTCCTGATGCATGCTCAATAATCCAGGTAGATATATTTATAAAACTGAGGTTGCTTACAGATCCTCAGACTGATGAAGTCAGACGCATCTGTCCAGAAGACCTGACTCAACCTTGTTAAATTGAATGAGATGGTTTGGACATGTCCAGAGGAGGGACAGTTGGTAAATTGGTAGAAGGATGTTGAAAATGCAGCTGTCAAGAAAAAGACAAAGATGAAGGCCAAAAAGGAGATGTATGGATGCAGTTAGAGAGGACATGGAGGTAGTTGGAGTGACAACTGGAGACAAAGGATGAAGAGAAGAGAAGAAAGTGAGGTGGAGGATGACTCATTGTGGCGACCTCTGAAAATATAAGAAGTTAAAGTAGAAGACAGCAAATTTTAACTTTGGCAGAAAAACTGCTAAAGTTCTCATATAGACCAAACATATTGCTCTTATATTAAAATTCTGTAAGGATGACAGAGTGCTGGGGATGAGATGAGCCAGGGTCAGCATGCAACAAATGGTTTGGACCCCCGTGATAACTGCTCACAGTTCTAGTTAAAATTATACCTATGCTACCTGCAGATTGCTTTTCACATTATTGTTTTATTTTGTATGTGTTGAGCTGCAAAGCACTTGATGTATCATTGCTTGGAAGGTGCTTCATTTAATTTTATTTGAATTTTCTATTTGATATTACCATTGCCAAGTCCTGAGGATGCCGTTTTACTTTTTAGATTGAATTGTGTTTAATTGTTTTGCCTCCTAAAATGAACATATTCTTCAGAGAAAAGATTAAAAGCAATACATTGCCAAGACATCCATATTTATGAGTCTACGACAACAAAAAAATACACTGTGCAAATTTACAGAGGCAATTACTTTAAGTCTGTGGAGCTTCATTACGTTTTTTCCTATGAAATATTTTCATTTAAAATACATTTTAATGTAAAATTAACACACTCTTGTTTGTTGCTTCCCTCTGTTTTTCCATAGAAGCTAAAATTGCCTGAAGCTCAGCGGAGTCTCATTAAATTCTGTTTAGATTTGAAATGTTCTTAAACGCTTTTGCATGAGTGACCTGAAAGTTTCATGAAATTACAATGGCAACAAGCTTTAAAACAACAATATTCATGAGAACATGGTGAGCTTTATGAAAACAATAAACTGCTCTTTTTGTTTGCAGGCAGTCATATAAAAGACTGTTTAACGTTCTGTCTTGCCATTATTAAAATTTAAATAAGAGATAACTGTTTTAATAACAAACAAAGAGACAGGATGATTAATACCTGGTTGGGTCCAGTTATACACAGCGTTCCCGGCTCACCAAGTGGAAGAGTTTTTTGATCAGAACAGTTTGCTCCCTCTTTTTTCTCCTCCAGGTCCAAGTTATAACTGCAACAAGAAACAAATGTGTGCAACGAAATACTTTATTTTACACACATTTTGATTTATTACATTCTTTTCACCCTATTTTGTAAAACTTTATGAGGGTACATAGTTTTTATTAAAATTTTATGCATAATATCCTTATGATCTACGATGAGGTTTGTTTTATGTGACAATGAGATTCATAGAACTTTGAATATTAGTATATCTGCATGGATATAAAACACAAGAGGCTGAAGAGAAATATAAGAAGTATAAAAATTAATTAGTAGCGATTATAAGGAAACACAAAAAGGAATATTGTAGTGATTTATTAAATAAAAGTAATGGTGATATGAAAGCAACATGGCGAGTAATAAATAGTGTTCTGAAAAGTCATAAAGCAAAAACAGGTATTTCACAATATTTTTTGAAGGAAGACAATGAAATCCATGATGAAAATGAAATTGTAAATGGATTTAATCATTATTTTGTGAATGTTGGATCAAGCCTTGCAGCTAAAATACCAAAAGTAGACAATAATGTGAACCATTCAGTTATAGGTTGTGACAACAGTATTTTTCTTAATGGAACTGACAAAGAAGAAATAATGAATGTAGTAAAAAATCTTACAGATAAGAGATCAAAAGACTGGGTGGACATGGATATGATGTTTGTAAAGGACATAATGAGTTATGTTATCGAGCCGTTTACATATATTTGTAATTTATCATTTTCAAAAGGAATATTTCCAGACAATATGAAAGTAGCTAAGGTAGTTCCTCTCTTTAAAAATGGTGATAAATGTGTGTTCAATAATTATAGACCAATATCCTTATTACCACAGTTCTCAAAAATTCTAGAAAAACTATTTGTGACCAGATTAGATAAAATTATTACTAAACAAAGCATTCTAAGTAACAGTCAGTATGGGTTTAGAGCAAAAAACTCTACATCAATGGCTCTCATGGAAATAATAGAACAAATAACTACTGCTGTCGATCAAAAACAATATTGTGTTAGTATTTTTGTTGATTTAAAAAAAGCATTTAATACTATTGACCACACTATTCTCCTTGGAAAATTAAATAAATATGGTATAAGAGGACCAGCATTACACTGGGTATCTAGCTATTTAAAAGATAGAAAACAGTTTGTACAAATAAATGGTGTAAGATCTGACCTCTGCAATATCACTTGTGGAGTTCCTCAAGGCTCTGTACTTGGAAAAAGTTATTTATTTTATATGTGAATGACTTAGTGAATGTATCAGGACTCCTCAAATGTGTCCTTTTTGCAGATGACACCACATTTTTCTGCTTGGGTAAAGATGTAAAACGGATGTTGGAATTGATGAAGACAGAATTTGATAAAATACAAACTTGGTTTAAACTTAATAAATTATCATTAAATTTAGATAAAACTAAATACATGATATTTAGTAACAAAAAGAGAACTGTTGATGATCCATTTAAAATTGAGGGTGTTGAGATTTGTAGAGTTAATGAGATGAAATTTTTGGGTGTAATCATTGATGAACAGCTAACATGGAAAAATCACAAATTCTGTAAGAACAAAAATAGCTAAATCTATTGCAGTACTATACAAAGTCAGGGAATTATTAAATGATAAAGCTTTGTACATGTTGTATAACACAATCATTGTTCCACATTTAATCTATTGCATTGATGTTTGGGGGAAAGCGTGTAAAACATTTACAAAACCTATTTTTATTTTACAGAAAAGAGCTGTAAGAATCATCACCAGAAAGCATTACAGTCACCCATCAAGCACATTATTTTATCAACTGAAGTTATTGAAGTTCCATGATTTGGTAGATTATAGTATTTTAACAGTTATGTATAGGGCTCAAAATAACACATTACTGTTAAACATTCAAAGAATTTGTGTTAAAAGACAAAGTTGTTATAATCTTAAGGGGATAGAGATATTTGTCAAACCAAAATTCAGAACTAGTCTGAAGGGAAGGTCTACCTCAATCCAAGGAGTTGGATTGTGGAATGGTCTAGAGAGTGATGTTAAAAATGCCAAGTCAATGTGTATATTTAAGAAAAAGATCAAAACTGGATTGTTAAAAAAAAATATATGAAGTAGCTTAGTGTGTTTTTTGTATTAGAATTAGAAAAATTAGAAAGAGTTATTCATTTTGTTCTGTTACTTGAAAATTATTATGATTGAAACAATTGTTTGAAAAACGGGGCAGATATAATAAGATTTTTTTCTTCTTTCTGCTGCCTTTCATTTTAAATCTTTTGTATCTTTTTTTTATATTGTTATGGAATTGTTTTGTACTTTTTTAAAATGAATAAACTTTATACCATACCATACTTTATACCATACCATATATAATATGGTATATAATATTTATGGAGGAGTGTGGTGCAGAGGTTAGAAGATGGGCCTGTGATCGGAAAGTTGCAGGTTCAACTCCCGGTACTGTCAACATCAAAATGTGGAAAAGGTGGAACACCCACACCTCCCTCCACCCTCATTTGCCCCACTCTAGGCCCCTGAGCAAGGCCATTAACCCCAACCATCTGCTCCCTAAACAGGTCTCTCTTAAAAATGAGTTCTCGTGGCTCAACCTGTATAGATAAAGGGTAAGTGAAAAGAAGATAAATAGTGTGAGCTGGGTGTTACAGGCACTGTTCAGAAAAATAAAAACATTTACTGTATGTATTTGTGTATGTTACCAGTACATATTTAATTAAAAGTTTAAAAAAATCTTTCTGGGTAAATATCACATGACACAATGTGGACACCCACAGCTTATAGAGTGTGGCCTACAAATTTTTATTTTTTAAATTAATGGGCGTGGCTTATGTCCAAGTGCACTTCCAGAATTTTTTCATTCGACCTTTATTTATACAGGTTTATCCTAGTGAGCATCGGGGACTTATTTATAAGAGAGACCTGTGTAGTATGTCGGGACATCTATTAATTAATTATTCTTAAGGCTAGTTCAAGCACAAAGAATATTAATTATTTAATTCACAACGGATTCTTTCTTTTTCGAGTTAAATTTCTGCCATGTGACCAAGATAACTTGAGAGTGGAGTGTATAATTAGTGACATGAGACGTCATTTATCTTTGACCCATCAGAATAAATGCGGTAATTTATTTAACAGAATCAAAATTTTACATCAAAACATGTACACTTGATTTGCTGATCTATTTCTGATTAATAAACTTAGCAAGTTCAAATAACAAGACAACAGAGGATTACTGATGGAGAATAATTCATCTCTGAAGGCATTTAGCTTGATTTACTGGCGAAGAGGTTTACAAGAGGAGAGATTTAGAGGTTTAAAGAGGAGGATTTAGATGGATGAAGGAAAATGTGTTGACCAGGAATGGCACCCTTCATCTGACCTCAGCTCAGCCCCGGTACACTCGGTGCATGACGACTCGTGACGACTTGTTACCTGAGCAGAAGATAAATCAGCTACGGAACAGAGGTCCATTTCCATGCTACCTTTCAGCATCTCCGGTCAGAGTGGCTGGGAATCGTCCGAAGTAGTGACGATACTCCGTTCAACAGAATAAGCTTCCTTAGAAGTTGAGAGCATTTAATGCTCGGGGTGAGATCACAGCGAGGCGTGCTGTGACTCCGCTGAAATGGATGGACCCTTGGCTCATGGTCAAATTCCATCAGCTATTTAGTTCAGCTGTAAGACTCCAGCAAGACTGCAGTCCCAGCAAGACTCCAGTAAGACTGCGTCCATTAAGACTGAAAGTTCCAGTCAGAACTCTCGTAAGACTTCAGTAAGACTTCAGTAAGACTTCAGTAAGACGAATAGTTCCAAGAAGTGTTGACTTTTAAAGGGTGTCCACTTCCTGTTACTTGGTACTTCCTGATTGGTTAACACAACCAGCAGTGGTGGAGTTTTAGTGATGTCAGAGGGTTATTAGAAGTCGCAGACAGCAGAAATGTTTTTAAGAACGGTTAGTAACAGACAGGAAAATATTTTGAAGAAGTGACAGACTTGCAAGTGCAGTAGGACGGCACTGCTGGGAAACGAGGTCAGATGGAATCAGGACGGCGAGCCGGGGTGGAGCCAAACCTTCCCGCTAGATCATCCGATCTGGGCGGGGGGAGGAGAGGGACGGAAAGTCCCTTCGTGTCAGCCGCCTCCTGAATTATGCCGGGCAGCTCCGAGAGGAGGGCACCGACGGCTGGGAGCTGTGTGGTCGCTGATGCAGAAAGGGATGCTCTGACCTACATTACCTATGTAGATTGTAAAGAGGATGGGTCCTAAGACTGATCCTTTTGGTACACCATTGTTGACTGTTAAATAACTGGAGGAATTTACGAAGTGTGTGTGTGTGTGTACACCCAAATAAAACCCCAAGCAAACCAATTGAATTAATAAAAATGACATCCTTGCAATAAAAAATGCAGTTACTGACAGTATTCAGAAGTTCTTTTTGTCCTTCAGTTCCTTACCGTTCATCTTGAAGTGCTGACCTTAGCCCCACAGCTCTATGTTGAAGAGCTGGACTCTGTTTAGCTGAACTTGCTCCAGATGGAGGGCCCTTGTACTCTAAAAATACAGGAAGCCATCACGCAGATCAACGCAACAAACTTGCATCCATATAACATCACTTTTTTGTAAAGTATTTCTTATTACCCTAAGGCAATCCACATTCTGCCTTTATTGCAACATATCCTAGAATTAAAAGACTCTGTCAAACTTATCTGCCTTCAGTGGATACCCATCATCCACTGAAAATATGTATTTTAATTTAAAACAAAGTACAAATAAAACAAGATGCACAACCATTGAGTGGCTAAAATACTATATCAAACATGAAAGGTGATTTTAACAAGTTTCTGTTCCCAAACAGTAGCAGAGGGCTGTTGAAAGAAGAAATGATGCAACAGAATGTTAACTGTGTCAACATTTTTAAAACATGTTGGGATCAAACTCAAAATGGAAAAAAAAATAAAAAAAATCTCAGTTTCAACATTTGATATTTACACTTGTCTGCATTTTGGCTATTTTAATATAATGTGAAACATGAATTTAGGCTTTGAGTGATTTTATTTATGGAATAGTGACATTATTATTGACAATTGAATGTTTTCTGGAAACCTAAGTTTATTTGAAACCACATTTGTAATATGCATGCTAATATTATCAGAAATTCTAAATAAAGAAAAAAGGCTCAATAGCTTTTTAAAACTACAAAACTAATTAGAGATTTAAAATCCATAAAGATTAAAAAGTGATTTAGCCCGAGCTGATTGCAGGAGCCTGTAACTGCTGTAACAAAGGCATCAGTGTATTCAGAGGTACTCACCGTCCTCAGGAACCACAGTCAGGGTGACGACAGTCCCGGCATCCTTGATGAGCTGAACAATGTCACTGTGAGAGAGCTCAATGATGGAGCGGCCATTGACCGCAGAGATACGGTCTCCAACGTGCAGCAGGCCGCAGCGGTCAGTGGGACTGCCTTCAATGATTCGGCCAATTTTGTGAGGGATAACTGAAAAGGCGAACAAAAAGACTAACAAAGCATTAGAATTCAGCTAGAACGCCCTTTGAGAATGTTATGTTCTGCCAGTCTCAAATGCAGCACATTATTTGTTTTCATCATTAATATACATCTTAAAAGTATATTATGTCAAACATGAAAACTGTGTTTTATATCCTAATTTATTTTTATAAATAATTTAGATAAAGGTTTGATTCTCACCACCATATGGCGGTTTGCTTTTGGATGTGAGGATAACAAAGCCAAAGCCCTCGTTCTCCCTGCGGTGGAGCGTGATGTCAAAAGACTCGTGGTCCAGTGCGCTGGGCATCGGCAGGTGAGGTAGTTTGGGAGAACCGTTCACAAGCACAGGAGCCATTTCTTGAGAATCTTCATCTGTTAGATCTGGATTGAAAAAAATACAGGTGATAATGATAATGTATTTATTTCTTACATCATAATATTTGCATATAAACAAACGTGATGATGGCACAGAGTTACATAAACATGTCATAACTTAAATTAAATTCCTTCAGTCCCTTTACCTGTCTGGAAAGACCATTACTGCAGTACAGTCTCAGGATTTTTCACAGTACTTTTTAAATAAAGAACCTTGGAGTTTTATATAAAAAAACAAAAACACAAAACTCAGTGCCAGCTGTCATTTGCCCTGTTTCTTACCTCTATAGATGACCTTCCGACGAACAGTCAGCATAACTTGCCCGTTACGGGCAGCATTGGTCATCAGGTCCAGGACCTGCTTGTGAGAGCGACCTTTGACTATCACGCCGTCTATGCCGATCAGCTCATCTCCTGCTCTGAGACGACCGTCCTTCTCTGCAGCTCCGCTGGGCACAATGGCCCCGATGTACACCTGGGGAAATACATTCTGACATGGGGTTAACAACAGAGAAATGAAATACAAAGATAGTTGTGGTATTAAAATAAATATATCAAGTTTCTAAAACCTATACTTCCTCGGGCTAAAATGTTTATACTCAAGATTTTAAAAGGTAAATACTTTGTATTTCTGAAGGATGCTTTTACATAAACAACAACTGAAATATAATAACTTCTACTTTATATTCTAGTTCTTTAGGCTGTGATGCATGCCCCTGTTGTACACTGCCTCTCGCAGAGAGACTGCTGGAAATACAAAAGTGTTCCCTCCCTCTACCAAAAAAGAAAAAGCAAGTAAAGAAAATGGATGGATGGATGGATGGATGGATGGATGGATGGATGGATACTAACTAATAATCAGACATTAATAACCACCACCAACAAATTCAAGCTGCAATGCAAAACGATAAGCAGAAAAAATAGTAGAATCTCTGGCTAACAATAAGTTGTTAATTCCCTTGGAAAAGTTAAATGAATCGTTTTTCATAGTTTTTATTTAATTTTATTGCCTTCACAAGTGACAATAAAAATGCTGGAGCATGATGAGGATTGATGATTTATGGTTTCTGCCTGGATTCATAAAAAACAAAACTGATTTATGCCAGAATAGTATGGATTTCTGATTTAAAACAATTTATTTTATTTGTCTGATAACAATATTGACTCTATGTTCACTCAAACTTATATTCAAACATTCTTAAACTAGATAAGCAGTATTTAATGCAATTCAAAACTCTGTCACATTTTCTTTCATTACGTTTTGCTTGAAGACATCTGGATGTCAATCTGTTAGCACCCAGAACGTTTTGACCTATGGATGAGGCGGCAGTTTTAGATGGAGTATCTGTTTGGCCACATGCCTGACTTCTCCCTGTCAACAGCATCACATCCTCTGTGTTTTCTATCACTGATGAATTATTTGTTTTGAGTAAGTAACCAGACCCAACTCTTTTCAAACACCATGCTTATTTTTGTAAATTCAGAGGGTTACAAAACTGCCATGGTAACACAAATAATTCCAGTCGTCTTCTGTACAAAATTAAATAATACAATTTTTCAAATTTGTAACCCAGAAGGTCGCAGCTGTTTATAGATACTTACTGGCTGCTGAGGACCTTCTCCTCCCAAAACACGGAAGCCGAAGCCTGTTTCAATGTCTCTCTTCAGAAAAACATCAATGTCTTTGGTGTGAGGTTCTGTGGATCAGAAACACTTCATCATTTATGTGTTAATATAAGATCGAGGTTTCAGGTAGTGCAAAACAAAAAGCTTAACAAAACAACTTATTTGAAGGATTTGTGAACTCTTACGTCTGCTCTCCAGGAGGGCTTTCGACTTCAGGTACATATCAGTGGTGTCTCGTTTCGGGGAGTCGGAGGAGTGCATGGTGTTGGTGCTGGAGTGGTAAGGTAAGGCCTGGGGCGTCGCGTCTGTGGTTGCGTCCAGCGTCTCTGTGCTGGCCGTCATTTCTTGTCTCTGAAAATCAATCAAAGGAACTGTCACACCACATTGCTTCATTAGGTTACGAAAAGGACAAGTTTTATGCTATGTTACACATATGGATGAACATTACAAGATAACTTAAAGTCCCAACAACTCATTATCTTAGTCAAAAGGCTGAGCATCTAATTGTGATGAATAATTAAAGCCCTAGAAGTCACTTCACTAGTTCACACTTTTCAATTACGCAGACTGTTTTCACGGATAAGTCTATTTTATACAGAGAACTAAGCAATAAGATTCTGATGTATAATAAAATCCAGGAAAGAAGGCGAAGATTTCCCAAAGGCTGTAACAGGCCTCTTCATGCAGAAAGGGCAACATATTTTATCTAAAAGTATTGTATTATTAATACCGCCATATCTAAAGAGGCTCATCCAATCCTCATTACCCCTGCAATCCCCAGACAATAGCCCAAAGAGTATGAATAGTGAGGGGAAGTAATTAAGACTGTTTTTGAAAGCAAACAAAAGGAGCCGACCAGAAAGATAATCAATATTCAAATTTATTGCTATCATTTAATTTGATGCAACAGAGTGGCTTACTGGTTAAGCTGGAGGACAAAATGCTTTCAAATTAAATTGAGGAATATGTCCCCGTGGGTAACGATAATGAAGAAAGAAGAAAAGACACATTTTTACTCACAGGCTTTAATGTCTTCACGGGGGATGTCTGACCTATGGAGTGACAAAGATGGACAACAAGAATATTGTTAAAAATGATGGTTAGTGACATTTGGAGAAGAAAAAAAACAAGTGTCACTGAAGCACAGTCCTCTAGATGGCACTGTCTCTCTGATTAAAAGAGCTGGGGTAAACATGGAAAATACACCAGCAGTTACTCAAAACTCACTAAAAAAGGCTCCATTAGGAAATATTTATCCATCCATGAGATTAAAGATACATACAGAACTGCAAACTGAGTGTGGGACAAAGAAAGTAGGTGAGAACTTGAGTCTTGTATCCGTACACCTTCATGACTGATTATTCTCTTTGAGCTCTTTGTTCCCTGTACAACACACCCACATGTTTCATCTCAAGTCCTCAGACAGATCCCCACAGATCATCTCACACAGTCCCATCTCTTCTCCTCTCCTCCTCAACCTCCTCATCTTAATTGAATTAGCAAATACTCCTCTGGAGCTAGCTGCCCTCTGGGCTTGGACAAACACTTGGCCTGATGAGAGGCTAATGGAGCCTGATGCACTGTGCAAAAAGAAGACACAAACAACATTTTTATGCTTTACTGTGAATTTCCCTGTCACCAAAGACCTTCCTGAAGCACATACAGCCGCATCTCTTTCTCCACTATTCTAAGCATCTGTTTTATCCTATTGCTTACAGCAAAGCACTCAAATGCATCTGGAAATGGGAAGCCTCTTCCAAGTTGTCTAATTAGCAGTTAAATCTGAAATTAGAACTTCAGCCATGCTCATATATGTTTCAACAGTGGAATCATGCAGGACCCCAGTGGAGTAGTACATAGCAACGATGGCACAGCAGTAAATGTGAGTAGCGTGGGTTGTTTGGGCAATGAGGGAAGAATGCTCAGGCGTGGTTAGGGGAAGGAAGCCCCAGAGGAGCTTCTCTTTATGGCTGTTTAACCATGGATCTTTTAGAGGCCATGGATAAAGAGGCATGCAGAAATCCCCTACGCTCTACTGATGATCAAAGCCAATCTGGGGTTCATCGACTTGCACAGTGAGACCCTCGGGCAGCCGAAGATGGAAGAAGGAAGCATTTGAAGGGTGCCTTCCCTTCTTCCAACACTCCATGGAAGCAAGTACATCCCTATACTTATATAATGCTGTCTTATATTTATAACAGAAAGCACAACGCCTCATTGGGTGTTGTCATAAACAGAGGTGGTTTGAATGGAGGCACAGAGTGGCAAATGCTTGGGATGTGCTGTTCACATTTCTAAAAAAGCTGCAAGGGATGGAAAGACAAAGCTCTTGCAAACTGGATCTGATCATCTGCAGTAGCTGATAGTACTACAAGATCTGTTCAGTTAAAAACACAGTGGTCTCTCTCAGTGATTTTACACAGACTGCAGACAAAGTGGCATCTTTACTCAGTGCTTCCAGCCAGAACACCACCTCACCTCCTATCAATATAAGCACTCTGACCTCACCTCCAATGGGCACTGCAGAAAATGCATTCACAGTAATAACAAATAATGGAAAACACATTCAGGCATAAAATCATGAGAACAAAAAATGATTGCGACAACATGAAAAAGAGCAAGGAACAAAAAAGAAACAACATAAACATACAGCTGACCAGACCCTCAAATGTATGGATATGTACAGACACAGATGAATTTGTTGACCTTCCACAATAATAGGATTAATAATAAAACACAACTGATGTGACTGAAGCCAAAAAGCTCCTGTTTTGTTCCTTCAGTCTTAGAAATGTTTCCCAGAAACTTCTAGGCTTGTTAGCATGCATTTTGGCTAAGTCCTGTTTGGCTTTTCGGGTTTTCCTGCCAATAGAGGATCCCTTCTGGGTCTTTTTAAATGAAGCCAAGTATGACTCCAATTGTGATGTACAATGTGATCAGAAATTTATCAGATCAATCTGAAGTTGCATTTCCTCTTGCATTCACAAACTGGGAGGTTGGCTATACAGTCACATGAACCTCATACTTTTTAATAATGTCAACTATGGTCACACGAACATAAAGCTGCCTGGAGATGGTCTTGTAGTCTTTAAAATAGATAGACGTAATCTTCTTTCAGGGCTACTTAGACAGATCTAACGTTTGCTTTCTCTGCTCCATGTTTAGTGTAATGCACCAAAGGTTCATACAATTATATTACAAGTATATCTTTGTAAAATTGTAAGAAAATAATTTCTTTAAAAAAATTGCAGTCACATACTATCATTAGATAATTAGTTTCAACAGAATCACTTTTTAAGACAAATGGAGAATTGTTTCAATGAGCTGTAAAGATACAAACAAATTTATCTGCATTTGTACATTAAGATAAATATACATTTAGATAGAAAAAATGTTTGTTGTTGATTTAGTTAGTCTCACCTCCTCTCAGAACAAGCAGATTGACCTCACTGCCAACTGGAAAGTCTTTAAGGATGTCCACCACTTGTGCATGGCTAAGCGTTTGGACATTTTGCCTGTTGATCTCCTTAATTACATCTCCTTTTTGTAGTCCACGGCACCACTGGGCATCCAGGATCATCTTCACTTTCTGGCCAAGGGGGCAGTCAGCAATGGCAAACCCAAATCCTCCAGGTCCCTTGACTAGCGGCACACTTACCAGCTCTGGCTGAAGCATTCCTGAGACCCCCTCGCCTCTCTCGGGCTGCCTCCCATTGGGCAAGGCCGCCACAACAGGCCTGCCACTGGCATCGGTAGTAACATAGTGGAGCTCTTGTGAGGAGCCATGGAGGACATTACCTTTCACCAGCAGTGGCTGTCCATTGATGAGAGGAACAGCTGTTACCACTTCTCCACCATGCAGGGCCTGCTGTGGCTGAGAGGCTGGGGGAGGGGGAGGAGGGGGAAGCGGGTCATCGCTGTCTACATCCACATCAGGGGGAAGTGGGTACCCACGGCAAAGAACCAAGTCTGCATACTGGTTGATGGGAATAGATTGAAACATCTTCACCACCTCCGGATGAGTCTTCCCAAGCACACATTTCCCGTTAATTTCAACAATCACATCACCTACAGGGGAAAAAAAAAAAAACATCATTAGAGGAAAAGGTTTTTCAGAGAGTCCAGATAGACATGACTTCTCAACATTTCTTTGAAAAATTGCTTCTTGTTTCTTTGAAATCTTCCTTTTCATTTATTTTCACACACACAAACATACATCTCCCCACAAAAACATCTCAAAGTGTCACAAGCATGAACAAAAGACTGTACTTGAGGAAAAAAAAAGAAAAAAATTTTTTTTTTTGACAGTCTTGGAGTTGCTTTTATTCTCTTACTGATCCCAAGGGATATTGTTAGGTCAAATGAGTACCAGAGAGTTATGATTAATGTCTCCATGTGTATCACACTTTTATTATAACACAACTTCAAAACATTTTCCGCAATATTGCAGAAATTAAATTAGACAATCATAGATCTTTCTGCTAGCTTAATGAGATTAAATTCTTGCTCTATATGGTATTTTTCTGTAGTCAATAGTACAAAAACCTATAGAGAAGTTTGCTCACCGGACGCCATCTTGTTGTCTTGGGCAGCAGGGCCGTCGCTGAGCACATTCTTCACCTGCAGGAACTCGTCTGTGCGGTCACCTCCTATGATAGTAAATCCAAAACCTTGGGAGCTTTTTTTCAGAGCAGTGTGGTACAGCTCTCCCTTCAGCTGACTGGGGTCGGCAGTGAAGCCCAGTGACCCTCGTTTGCCTGTGCAAAATATGGACACATGTTTATTGCCCTTTACCAAAGTCAAATACATTTTTTGTTTTTGTCTTTTTCTGTGTGTTCATATGTTTGTTTAGCATTAAAATATCTTATGAACCAGTAGACAAAATGTAACATGAACTTTCAGAAAGGAATAATCAGAATCAGAATCAGCTTTATTGTCATTGCACCAAAGCACAACAACATTACATTTCAGTACAGCCCGTCCGAGAAAACAAACAAACAGACATGGGGAGACAGAGGTGTCTAAGGCCGCATCCTTTGGGAGGTGCTGCACTTTTCAGTTATATTAAAAAAGAGAAACATGAGGGGAGGTATAAAAAAATATATATCATATCTCACACTGTGTCCTATACGGGACACAGTGTGAAAGTTGCCAAAAAAGTCCTCAGCACAGAAACTGCAACGTACTGATGACATAATACATTTATGCATGAGGAGGCCAACAAAGGTCTGTGGACATGGCCAGATAGTTCCAAAGTCCTGAAACGAGATGGTGCTGTATCTATCAGCCAGCTCAGCTCTGACACAGGTCCACAGATGTCCTTGGGAAGGGAGCGGGTAGGGGGGAGAGCAGAGCTTCTTGTTCACATACTGTCTAGGAGAGTTTGAGATAGTTGGCCAATTCAAGGCCACGCAGGGGAGCCTGATTCAATTAACAATTATTTTGGGTCAGGACGACTCTGCTTGATTTCTGTCTGCCTTCATAGTTCTACTGGTACATCTCAATGGTGACTCCAAACTGCCAAATTTTGTGGTCAACATCGCTGGACTGAGCTTGTAGCTTCTTCAAGGTCAATTTCTTTTCGCCAGCGAGTTTCAGGAACCGCAAGTGGCCTACGATTCTCAGAAATCGCGTCCAGCTTAGGACTCAGCTCACACAGCATCTGAGTCTGAGTGCTTATCGCTCGGCACATTCCTTCACACAATCCAGGCAGCCTCACAATGGCCAGAACAGCTACCGACGTTTCCAGCATTTGTCGATATGCCAGGTAACTGCCAACTCCAAAAAGCAGAAATCCTATTCTCATAAATCCAATTATGTATGCGTCTTCTACATCCTCAGTTGGCAATATTGACAGTCACATGATTTTTCACTGCACCCCAGAATCCATCGTGTATTCAGCTGCAAGTGTCCCTTTAAGTCATGAGGACTCTCCTCCGCCCAGTTTTCTCGTTGAGAAAATTTCATCACTAGTGCTGAGAGACCAGCTGACCAGATACATAATTTACAATTCAGAAGATATGTAAAGAGAGGCTCTGATAGGGTTCACAGGACAAAGAGCAAAGCAGGAGGGAAGCAGGGGTGGGAGGGAAAGTATCCACCTTCGTCGAGAGCAGAATGGATGTACATTAAATTTTTGGAGTTAACCATTCAACATGGCCACAACGGCTAATTGACCCATGCAAATACAAACATGACTACAATTCAGTGAATTTTACAAATGCTGAATTAAAACTTGACATGGTAGTACCTGAGAGTCATTCTCAACATAAGTGCTAACAGATAATGTGACACGCAAGTGATATGAAGTAATTTAAGGAATGTTAGGCATTTAGTTACCTTGTTTTTGTGTGTGGGGAGTGTCTTTATAAAATAATGAGTGAATTACAGGCTTTGTAATTTTCAAATGCAAACCCCAAACAATGCATCTCATCAAACTCAACAAAAATTAACATGACATCCTCTTGAAAGACTATAAAATAGGAACGTGGCTGCGCTGAACCTTAATTATACACATTACAAGCAAAAAAATCAACCTATTAATCAGTCATTTTCTAATTACCAGACATGATACATCTTTAAACCTTATAAACCCATCATTACAGACCTTTCGGTGCAGACTCGTTAAAGAGTGTCAACAGATAAAATTACAGCTTTTCTGTCCTTCACTCCATTACAAAAACTATAGAGCAGAGCAGTCATGCACCACTTCTGTCTCATTTAGCCTTTTGTTTGTCTACTCCTACTCTGTTTAATATATTATAAAGAAAATAAATGATTGTTGTATAAATTTGTACATATAAAAAAAGACTTAAGGTCATTGCCAGCATTAATATGGAGCAGCAGCTTGGCTGTGACACAAGTAATACAAAAGATAACCAACTCTCAGGGTCACACTGCATTTAACTGAGGAGCTTCCTTATCGGTCAGTCCTGCAGTATCAGCACTTTACATCACCAGCACACACTTTTTGTTTTAGCTGCCTGATGGTCTGTGACCTGGGCTGCATTATTACTGCGACTCAAAAAAACGATAAAACTGAAAGAAGCCAATGATGTGTTAATGGTCCTGCAACTATACTTTTTCCTCAAGGACTGTGCTTTCAGTCACTTTAAATTTGTCAATAATAAAAGCACTAAGCATTTAAAAAAGGATGCATTTAATTGTTGCATACAATTTGTTTAACCCTTGAGTTGTCCTTTTTAAACATTCATATTCCTTAGGGGAATGCTCAACCACCTTATTTAACTGCTTAAATTACTAATTTTATTTTTTTTCCCACAAAAAACAGTCAGTATTTTAGAACTAACTCAGCGTGAAATAAATATATCAAATTTAACTTACTTTTTTAAAATTTTAACTCCTTAAAAGTCTTTATAAACAACCCTTCACATTTCAGTTTTAAAAAAATTCTTAAATATTTTACAGCAATTTATTAAAAATTTAAGGCATTAGACAGTGTGGAAAATAAGATTTTAGATTTTATTAGGTTGCCGCGTGACTTCTCAGTTTTACAAACTGTTAAATTATAGTTTGAGTGGTAAATCATTACATATCAAACTTATTTGTCAAAGAGATTTGAAAATAGAGTACACAAATGAAGAATGGCTGGAGGTCGTATTGGAGAGCAGTAAATATGTGAAAGAAGACAGAAATAAATTCATACAGTATAAAGTGTTGTATATATATTATCATACTCCTACCAGACTGCACAGAATGAAACTAATGACAGACAATTTGTGCTGGAAATGTAAAAAAGAGGTGGGGACATATTTACACTGTTTTTGGGAATGTCCTCTGGTTACACCTTTTTGGACTAAAGTCTTGAAGGTTTTGAGTACCTGGTTTGGCTCAGAAGTTCCTCGGACCCCAGAACTGTGTTTACTGGGAGACAGATCTCAAATGCCGGACATTTCCAAATGAGTCCTTTCAGTTATTATGGTCAGTCTTGTGACAGCATCCAGGATTATCTTAAAACATTGGAAGACCACACCATGAGGTCATGCTCAGTAACTTGAAAGGGAGCAGAGATACAGATTGGGACAGTTTTTGGGACTCACTAAAAAGTGTGACATAAGACCTTTGTATGACCTAAAATGATACTGCTTTGTCTTATGTTTTTAATTTTTTGTTTCTCGATTTTCTGGATTCTTGAATAATCCCAACTA